TTTTTTTAAAAATATTTTTTTTGTACAAATATTATACTTTTTGTATTTATATAATTAACTTATAACATAATTATATATTTATTATTGTTATAAAAATTTTATTTAAGTTAGTGAACCGGTCAGTCATATAAATATACACATGAATTAAATAAAACTATAGAAAGTATAATCGTAAAGTAATGCTTCTTAAATGTTTTAGCTGTAAGAATGAATAACATACCTATTTGTCGTGTAAACGGTCATGCATATATGGATGGTGAATCTTTCACTGTGGATGAAGAACCCGATTTGATTTGCAATTGCCTACCAGGATACAAAGGTAATAATAATATTAATTTATTATTATATAATAAATTTACATTACTTTTAACATTTCAGTGCCATTGTGTCTCTATAGAAATTTGCTTTACTTCATACGCTAGAATTTTCTTAATAAAAATATATTTACTTGTTATCGATCCTTAATATTAGATATTTCGATTGAAAAAATATATGTTTTGTTATATATTAATTTTTACGCGATATTTTCGTACTCATGTAACAGATAAGTAACAAAATGATAAAAAATGATACTGAACAATTAAATTATATAATTCCCAAAGATATAATATACATAATACCTATTAGAATTGGGAATTTTCTAATTTTAGGTGAAAATGTTCCACCTTTTTGTATCAAGCTTAATCATTCTCCGTGTCTTCACCCTGCATTCAGTCACAATGATTACTTTCGTCAAAATTGTGCTCCAGTTTTCAATGATTACATAGAAAAGAACATGTGTTATGTGGCGATGTTATGTCGTAAGTTTGTAATTTGAATGCTGTACACATTTCATCACTGATTCCCATAACTGACATTATTCCCATAATTTTGTTAAATTTTTCAGATACTCCTGGCGACATTGTCATTTCTAACCGATTACCTTTTATAATGAATGACTATATTAGTATGTTTCATATTTATTTTTAAATTAATTTTATAATATCCTATGCATTTGTGGAATATTACATTGATAAAAAAATTATTTCTGTTATATTTGTTAAGAAATTTAGAATATATACATATATTTGTATGGCATTGAAGTGATATGTACAATTGGTTATATACATTTCAATTATTCTTTTAAAATGTAAACAATATTTTCTTTATTATCAATTTATATTACATTCTTTTAATAAGTAATTACTCGAATCGATATTCAATTTGAATTCTAAAGTACTTGGAAAATTGGAGCATTATCTATGTAGTATAAAAAATAAAATTAATACTAGCGTGCTTTAACAAAGCTGAAGAAGTTAATTTCTTGTTAATTTGTTTAAATTCATTAATTATTAATATTTTCATTAATTTTATAGATCGCGATATTAAGAAAAAAATTTATTACTTTATGATAGATTGCATTCGGTAATCATATGATGAATATGTAAGGTATATAAAATGAGATATTGGCACATATTTGAACGGTCAAACGATACTAATTACATAATCGTATTGTGAATCGCGTCAAATAGGAGGTAATTGCGACAAACATTGCATATGAATAACGAGCACTGCTCAAAATCAATTTCTGTAACATATTAATATTATAATCCTATAAAATGGTATTAATTACGAAATACGACTCACTTCATTGCGCATCCAATTTACTGAATACAGAAAAGTGTATTATATAAAATAATTGATGTACTATTAATATTTATTATATTCTAAGAAAATATATTATGATTACTCATTTGATATTCTTTTTTTCAGATATGTGCATATTTGGTAATTTGCTAATGCAAATTGGAGACAGACTACAGCCATCTCCAGAATATATGGTCGAGAGTATTGATTGCACTTGCGAAGTACCACCTGTACTAACTTGTATGTATATCAGACAATGGTAATAAGATTTCTTTTTCTTAAGCGTTATGAAAGATATTATAATGTATTAGATTATTATTTTTGCTATAAGATGCAAAACCTTATTATACAACTTAAAGATTTATAAAAACCTTAAATTGTAATAAAAATTTATATTTATAAGAATAGATATATTACTTATTAATTATTAATATCCATTGCTCAATTAATGTAATAAAATATCTATTTATTAAAAGAAACTGTATGGCGACATTACAAGTTCTATTATAAGTTGTATCTTCAGAGTTGTGCCTTCACATCGTTGAAAATATAGGTGCTGGTGAATATATATATATTTATATAGAAAAGATTAAAATGGTAAAATCTTATTATAGCTAAATAATTTTTTTTTAATATCTTCTCACTTATTGAAATTTGAATTTAATGTATAAATAATAAATTTGATGCAACTTATTATTCGCTTTTACATATATTTGCATAATAAGAAAGAGGAATGAGGGACTATGTGTGTGAATAGAAGGAAATTATTAATAAAATACATGAGTAAATTTTCCAAAATTTTTTTACTAAAGAAACATATATTTCAGTAACGAACACACACGGACAAATCAGTGGTCGAACTAAATTATACAAGATTAGGTACTTCGCTATTTCTTCTTTGCCTCTAGAAGGTTACAATGCTTTGGTTATCTTTTTTTTTTGTTTTGAATATATTATAGGATATTTACGGAGATATAATTAGTGTTCCTCTCTTTCGGCTTTTTAAGCACTGAATTACTTTATACCAAGCGGTTCGAAGTTCCCCGTTGTTTGCTCATGATCATTGTCCAACCGATCGATCGCGCGATCAATCGATGGAACGCGTCCGTTTACACTATTTCTAATCGGTATACAATAATTTGCTATCTCTATCGAGTCCATCTGTCAAGACGCATTTCGATCGCGATCGCGCGATTTTCGAACGGTCTATCTGTCGCTTCGTCGCAAAAGTTAATTCGTATTGTTGTGCTTATTGCGAATTTCCATATTTCACATATTCTCCGCAAAATTAAATATATTTTTTTAAAGAAATCTTCACTAAACGATAAAATCTGAAATTTTTTATCCAATGCTTTTTCGAATAGTTTATTGCAAAATGCTTTACACAGCTTTACACAGCCTTTTGTTTAATTTTGCATAATAAAGCATAGACATAATTCAAACGTGAATTAATTAAATTCTCATTAATTAATACTTGTGCATTGCTCAAGATATATATTAAAATCTAATTTGAGTCATCGGTTTTATTCGATAAATGTCTTATTTTTGGGAGTCATTTCAATTTTAAAAAATTATGTAAGAAATAAGCGAGAAAAATATCAGAGCGCTCGGAGACTCAAACCAAGGCCTGGATCTTTTCTATATTGATAGATTTCTGTTCTTTCATCCGAGCCACACAGCCCTGAGCTTCTCTTGTGCGTACTTCCCCCAAATTTCTTACAATTATAAATGTATAAAATAATTTTTATAATTATAAAAGAATTATAGTTAAATATTATATAATTTTTTTGTATATTTTAATCAAGATGTTACTAATTTTACTTTTTATAGAATAGATTATAGGTTTACCGAGTGAGAAAGATTCTTATTGTGCAACATAAATTCATCTGTTTAAAGTAACGTCTACAATGAGATTTTTTAAGGCGTTAAGCTTTAAGACTTAAGTTGTAAAAAATTGACCAATCACAGTCAAATGTAAGGAGAACGATCGACTATGTTCGATTTCTTATGGCTTAAAGCTTAAAACTTAAGTTATGCCTTAAAATCTCATTGTAGACGCCGCTTTATATATAAAAATATGCTCTGTGCCATGTAACACACTTCAATTTTATTTCTTTTTTTTAAATACCAGAACTAATATTGACATACATAATTCTGATTAAACTGTCACAATGGCACATTCATGATTAAAATAGTAAGAATAACAGATTTTGAGTTTCGAGAGGTATTTACAGAATTTGAATAAATGTTATTCGCAGAACTTTTTAAATCGAAGTATAGAGAATTGGAAAAATGGAAATTCGCGAGTAAAAAAAAAGCGTTTCAAGCACTTGTACAATATCGTTGAAAAACCGTTGGCAATGTGTAGACACGTCCTGCTGGCAGCGGACGGTCGAATATGTGGACGAGCATTACTCGTTCGTCTTTCTCGAACGATGCACAATTGTAAAATCGATCAGTAATATTCTCGCGGATGTTAAAAACTGTATGAAAGTGTGTAGGTATATGAATTTGTGATGCTAGTCCAATGCAGTCTATGATTTTTATCCTGCTTCATTTATTATTACACACGTGATATGCGCGGATATGGTAAGTAAATATCTTGATATGGCAAGTAAATAACAGTAACGCACGTACTTAAACTAATATATTTATATGCGATGGTCGCATTCTTCTCTTTCGGCATTTCTCGTCGATCTCTTGCTTAATTGACGGCGATCTGCATAAGAGCGCTGGCATGACACCGTGTCATTTTGTGCAATATCAAATAGAAGATTTGTTAAATAACTTTTACGATATCGTTTAACAAGCTTGACGATATCGCGCATTTATTCTGTACGCTGCGATAAGCTCTTGTATATTTATCGTAATGCCGACTTAAGAATTATTTTTATTGCATTTTATTATACGAGATCTCATGATTTACGAAAATTAAGATCAATAAATGTTCAGACGAAAGAATTAAATTAGGCAATGAGAATTTATAAAATTGTAATTTTATAGAGAAATTTATTAAATCTTCCGATTGTTTTTAAAGCTCCTGTGCGGCAATAAATAAATAAGAAAAGATAAGATTGTCGTTAAAGAGTGATAAAATAAAAGCAATTCGGTGTACCTGCAGATTTGTACTTTAAGAATTTTTCCTTCGTAACTATAACTTTATGCTGCATAATTCTCGAAAGTGAAATACGCAGAAATCATAGCGCAATTATTCGTTTCCTTCAATTGTACGCTTCTTATCAGAAGTATCGAAATCTAGCTTATGAAACGATTTGCAATGAAAGCATATTAACACATAATATGGAATGAAATATTCTCTATTGGAGTTCTTCTTATTCGCATCTGATTCGGGATCTCGTAAAACTGTCATGAAATCCGCGCAAAAGCTTCGCTTATCGCCGTTTCTTTTTGTAGAATCAGGAAATAATATTTCTCTCTTGTGTTACACGCCGATTGCGAACCGCTCTTGAGATAAATACACACGCGAGCCATCGCTCTTTCTCTTCTTCTTTCTCTCTCTCCCTTTCTCTCTCGAGTCGCATACGTACAAGCACACGAAACATATGCACACCAGTACACGCGATCTTATTTATTTCGTACTAATATTATAATCGAGAATCCTCGGCAAATGCTACAGATACAAACTAGAGAGCATAAGATGTAACGTCGGTACGCGTGTACAGATTCCTGCAAAAGATAGGCTCTACAGAGTTCACAGTGAGTCTGTTTTACTCGATTAGGAGATAAAAGTTTAACAATAAACATTTCAAAAGTTTTCGGAGCAAAAGTATAAAAATATAAATCGTATTTTGTGTCGATATCATTCGGATAGATAGACTTGGCTGAGAAATTCTGTCCTTTCTTTGATTCTTGAATGTCTGAAAGGAGTTTTTTCCTAGATTCTGAGATTACGAATCGTCACATTCTGGAATTCTTGGACCCTATCTCGGATCTCTTTAGATTTTTAGATTCCTATCTCCATAATTTATCGAACTCCTTAACAAATTCTAAAGTGTCTGTAATAAAATTTTGAGGCGTAAAATTTAAAATTTAAACCGTAAGAAGTTAACCATTTATAGTCGATTATTCTCGTCATATTCGACTGTGATTGATTAGTTTTTGATGGCTTTAGGTTTTAAGTTTAAACTTTATGCCTTAAAATCTCGTTGTAAACATTACTTTAGTCGCGCAAAGTTGTAGAATTTTTTATGTAGTTATTTGTAAATTTCTCGATAAATCTTGTCATTAAAGTAATATTTTCTTGACTGTGAATTCTGCGGAGGACAGTTTTTGCGCATTTTTAAAAATGCGTCGAAGAATGCACTCGATACGCATCGCGGCTAAATATACAATATTCGATAAGAATAAGATTACACAGATACGTAATCATAGTAGTAAAAAGTAAAAACAGTATGAAAAATTATTGTATTGTTTCCCATTACTTATTGTTACGTCGTGTTCCGTACTCTCGAAATTGCCAATGCGAGCTTGATTATAACTTTTTTTTTTTATTTTCTTTGCATCTAGTGAATATATTTATGAAAAGTTATTCCTTTCCTCCGAAGTAGATATTTTTTGTAGAAATAAAATATCGCAAAACGATAGAGTGTGACCAACGCGTTACAACAATTACTCGTAAATAGAAATCGCGTTATCAAATTTGTAACATCTATTCTACATGTAAATTTTTCAATTTTCGTTCAAGCTAATTATATGCTGTTGTGAGCTATGCTAGAGATTATTTAATAGCTTCATTTTTGTTATTTTTGCTAATAAATATCCCATAAGCGATTTTTTTATTTTCCTATCAATCTGGCGTTTGATCAATTCCGAGAGTGGAACGTCCTGTTATAAGTACGAACACTATGATATCGTATTACATGTACGATGATCTCTACGATGGTCGATGTTCTCTGAGATGACAATACTATGATCAACTAATGATTAATAACGAACGATATATGTTCAATAGCAGCTTTTTCTAAATGAAACTGAGATTTTCTGTTAATGAATTGTTTGATACGATAATACTATTATTTAAGTTTAAATTACATCAGGCATATTATCAAGTAAAATGTTTAGCAACAATGTGTATTGTTAAAGTTATCTTTAGCTACATTTAGTGCTCAGATCTTCTATGTTAAGAAATCATCATTTTCGTGAACATTTTTTATGTTTTTCCTTTGTTAAAATTTACAGTGAATTGAGAATAATTATTACTTAATTAATATAAAAATAATAAAAGCTTAACCTACGGCT